AAACAACAACAACAACCATGTTAGATGATGACCCAACATTAATTACTACCAAATAATATTCAACATTTTTTTTAGATCATTTGCAATCACAAGTTTATAATTAATCACCTTGATACATAGTAATTCAATTTACTCCAATTAAACAAATAAATCAAAGTTCACATTTTGACACAAAATTTCATCATAGTATAATAGAATTATTCAAATTAATAACTGTAATTATATATGTACATACAAAAAACAGATAAATGTGCTATAAGAAAAATGATGGACCAAAAATGGACAACGTCATTTGTATAGATACATAAACTATAAAATCTCATCATGGACACTCCCTAACCCCGTCTAACTAATGAGAAATTTGAAACAGGGAAGGAAAGAATTAATGACAATAAACATAATAAAATAAAATAAAAAAAATTAATTCATAATTGGTATCTTCATTGGCTGGCGGCAATGACTTTCCGGTGATGCCTTGACCTCCGCTCTTTACTACGTCTTGCAGGAATTTTCCGAGCCGGGTTACTACTTACAACAGTACTCTCAGATGAAATCCCTGAATTGAATTTGTCTGAATTTTCGTTTGATATGATAACTGGCGGAGGAGGATGAACGTCAGAAACACCACCGAGAGGAGGAGGGGGAGGCCACTGCTCGAGTAAGTCTCGGTGGTAACCCTGCCAGTCATAAATGAGTCGTAAACCGATCAAAAAGAAACCCCCAAATAAAATATTAAAACAATTATTCAAAATTATTGGCAATGAAAATAATAACAAATTTTGAACATTATGGGTACCATGTTAAGGAATAAAATTAAGACTATGTTCGGTAAACCTACAATCAACTAGCTTATAGCTTTTAAGTGAATTTCGAGCTTATAGCTGATACTTATGACTTAAGGCTGAAAAGTGTTTGGTAAAATTAGTTATTAAGCTAACTGAAATATAAATTTCAAAAGCCTTATTTGAAAAGCTACCGAAAAGCTACCTAAAGAAGCTTATGAGATAAAATCGAGCTTTTTAAAAAAGCTTGTCTTACTGAACAAAGTTTATTTGAATACAGGAAGCTTATAAAACTTATAACCTGATCAAATAAGTTACATACCTGGATAACAAAATTGCGTCTTTCACAGTCGAGGAACATATTGATTGTATAATTGACCTTCGACCAGATCTTATCCCTCACAGTTGAAAAACTAATCTGATCTCTAGAAGTAAAACGGTCGACTTCGTTAAACCAAAGACATGTGAAGAGATTGGAGATTGGAATGTGCTCCCTTACTATCACACATCCTTCAGGAACATCTGGAATATATCATCAAATTCAAACATAAATCATATATGCACAGCAAGCCAAAGGCTAAAACCGGAAACTAAAAAGTAAAAGAGAGAAAGGTGAAAAGAAAAAAAGCTAGGCACTGCGTTTACCGCTTGTAATCGGCAACTTTGCCGAAGAGTATGGTGTTAAACCCTCCTTTTTATAAAATTCGACCTGGAAATTAATGGAAGAGTTGTCATACTTCCCAGCAGCCTTATTAGCTTCTGCTTCTTCAAATACGTCAAAACGCTTATAATGCCTCGATATTGCAAAACTCGCATTTTTCCTCCACAGAAACCTGTAAGATGAAAGTTTAATCTAGAAAAAGTTCTTCACCAAATAAGGCATATATCTGGAGTCTAGTAGGCGTCAAAAGACACATCAAGTGCCTTGTACAATCAGTTAAAAAAAATAAAAAAATGATTCACAAGCATTGACATCTCAAAACAATCAGAGACCAATATATTTTGATTTCTATCATATCAGTCGAGGTTGATGTCAATCATCTACATGATCACTACACATTTGAACTACCAAACTCAATGTCGGCCATGTAATTTAAATAATTATTTATTTATTAATTTATGTATTTAACAAATCATAGAATGCAATTAAGGTGAGCAACCACAGCTACACGTATGAAGCATATGTTACCTTTCTAGAATCTGAAATGGATCCACAACAAGCTCAAGTTTTGCATCGACCCACAGTGAGTAACGGGCATTAGGGAAAAGCCGGTGCATTAATAGTTTTGGAATCTGCAGGTGCAAGAAAAAACCTCAGAATAACCGATTCTAGACACCTAAAATTCGTTATATGTATTTTTCTTGAATTGAACCAATTAAATTTACAGCAGAGGTTTGATAAAACTAATATGACAAATCCCATCTCAGTAAACATTATATGTTTTTTTTTTTTT